GATTGCCAATTTTCCTTCTGATTTTATAAACAAAGCGGCATACCTGAGCGAATATTTGGAAAGGATTACAATGAGACATTTATAGCTACTAATAAACACGGATTATACTCACAGCTACGTTCATCTACATCAATCGCACCCGTCTTCAAGACGCAGTTATCTTCCAAAAAACACAAAGCCTTATTAAAGCATATTGAAGGTATTTATATAGACAAGTAAAATTACCTGGAAACGACCATATAAACACAGTTCGTAAACTATACGGCAATAAAAGAAAGAGTTTCTCGTATGACAATGTTGCCAATCACAATATTAAATGTTGGGATAAGTATTATCTGGGGATGACAGCTGCATCTGGAGTGCACAATGCAGAAAAATAAGAAGAATATGAAGATCTTATTTCAGCAAACAAGACATTGCTTTTACAAAATAGAATAATTATTGTATATTAATCATTAGTATATTTAACAAAAAATGGGATGGGATCTAGACTCCAGGTGTCAAACATCAGTGGTCACTCACTGAAAAAGAAATACACTGATGCAACATTCTTTTTGACCTTATCTGAATTGAAAAAAAAATGGCTATAGGATACTGACAGAGACAGCACATCTACGTGGCACTTTGAACAACCATAATGTCAAATGGAAAGAGAAAAAAAAAACGAACCAAATGGTTGCTGAATTCATTTTGCCTTGCAGAGTTTCATGCTCTTTTTCCTACATGTCATGAAAACTGTGCACCAGATGTGTTTCTGTATAGAGTTCACTGCTGATTGACTGTTAAACAAAGACACATTTAAAGTATGTCCTTGTAAATGATGCCTTCAAGTCTTGCACTGTTACAGTACAAGCAAAACTTAAATCTAAGGAATCCAGTTTCAGTGTTTTTCTTGGCATACCAGTGCATTTCTAGCTGCAGATTTGCATTTCCAAAATTATAAACAATTAAATAAAAAATTAATATTTTATTAGACATTCTGAGATGCATGTAGAACATTTTATCTAATGCACAAGATAAAATGTTGATGAAAAGAAAACATAATCTGGGATCTCTCTCACTGGAGCAACTAAAACAATTCAATTCAAGAGCAGAATGACTTTCATGAAAGAGATGACTTGCAGCATTGTGAGTCAGGGCATGTGTTTTAGCTCTAGGCTTGCATATTTTGTTAATTGACCATAATCTTGTATTGTGGTGGTGAGCAGAAAAAAAGCTAAAATGATGGCAAACCAGCAATGTATTTACTACCATAACCAGTTACCTCAATCAGTTATTAAAACAGTTAATGCAAGCCAAGTATTAGCTTTGACTTAGAAATCTGCGTTGTATTAACGTTATCTATACATTTTCCATTTTAAAATTTCATAATAGTGCTAAAGTAATAGTGAGAGCAAGGAAAAGCCTTTCCCCTTTATTCAGTATGTGTGCTTTTTTTATACTTAGCTTGCCTTCACTAATAAAAGTGGTGCAAGGGTTCTCCCTAGCGGCCACAGTTGAAATCAGTGTTTTTTTTTTCTTTTTACTTGTAAATAAAACCAAATAGATTGTTATTTATATTAATATTTCAAGTCTGATTACTATTTTTAAAGGCTGGCAAACACAGTTGTCATGACTCAGCAATGAACTCTTAATGAGTGGGTCACAATATCAAGGCTGTAGATAGTTCTGGGATAGTGTGAATGAAACAAAATACATGACTTTATTATTACTGATAATCTCTCACTCTGCTGATTACAATCTCAAAACTCTGGCAAACAAAGTTGTCATGGCTCAGCAATGAACTCTAGTGTGTATCACATTCCCAAGCAAATGAAGAAGCAAAAATAAACAATACACAGTGTTTACCTCACACAGTATTACAGTACCATAATCTATTAAAGGTGGGATGTTCGCCGTCCCAGAACTTCCGTCAAACTTTGCCAACAAATGAAACACACCTCCTTTTCCAAACCACGGTATCTTTTCCTGTCAAGCAAAAGCAAAGCAAGCTCTTTAAGCACTTTCTCAGCAGCTCCTTGCAGCGATGAAAAGCTTTACAGTTCACTGTTCACACATTCTTTTCATGGTCCTGTCGCAGCTTCCGGCTGTGAACGAGCAAAATGATTGACAGACAGCAAACGCATCAGAGGCTTTCTGATTGGCTAAACACATAATTCGACTGTCATAATCTCAGGGCAGTTATATTTCAATGATATTCAGTGATCGTTTCCTTTCTGTTACAGCACCTTTCATGGAAGTTCTCTCTGACTTTAAACTCTAGTTTAAACTTTGGGCAAAGTTAAGCAGACTTTACAAAGAACGCGGAAGACAGCTGTGACATCAGCTCATGAGGGGCTTCATGCACCTCATGCTCATGAATAATGCTACTTCTATGCAGCTGGCGATGGAACATTCCTTTTAGTGCATTAGCTGATTGCATCCCTAACCCATTCGCTGTAGTTAACCGCATTGTTTGAAGAAGTTAGTGTGTGGTCTTGCCTGTTCGCGTGCAGTCTGACATCTGTGCACCAGTGCAGCGTCCCATGCTACTATTCTTCAAACGCAAAAGGAACAACAGAGATTCATTTCTTATTGAGAGCTTCATTTGGCATCATTATGCAAACTGCTGACCTTATTAAATGGATCATGCAATTATTATTCACAATATATACACATCATTTGTATAGGCTATATTTAAGTTAAATAATAGCTGTAGACATATATATATTTAAATTACAATATGTAATTTACATGTTTATTTGCAAGTTATGTAGGCTATATATGCTTAGTTGATATAAAAAGCAACATTAAATATTGGTATAGAAAAGGTTACATGAACCAGGTGTAAAGGTAAAAAATAAAAACGGATTAAAATGGTGAAAAATGCTAAGATAGTCCTAAACCTTTTTTACCTTATTAATATTCATTGTAACCTAAAATCTTGACTTTGATTTTAAAAAAGTCAAGCCATTTAGTAGCCTATTATACTAAATGGTTGTTATTAGGAGACGAATTACCCAAAATGGGTGCTTTAATAAAATGGCCACAAGGGGACGATCAAACACAGATTTAGCAGGTGAATTTGGCCAACCTACAGACGCGCTCCTCATTTTGTGCTCCACTTTAATGCTCCTCTCCGCACCGCGCTGAATCGACCTAATTCCTCGGGGCTTAAATTGCCATGAATATAGCAAGAAAAGGAAGAATACGTGAATAAGTGAAAATATGAGCCAGGACATTGTAAACAATTTTTAATTTTAACCACAATAACATTAAGAACAAGGATTTTAGTTCAAAACAAATAAATTGGGCAAATAACAGTTTTCCAACGTGAATTACATTTACGTTTATTCCTATAGCAGTAAGTAAAGCACTTGGTCAATGCACTTATTTGATTAGTCATTGTTTAAAGATATAATAAGCTGTGAATGATGCTTTGTGATATATCTTCTTCTCATCTAATTGGCTAAAATAATATCGCGATATATGATGTTAATATATTTGTCAATTAACTACAATAAACGCAATCTATCATAAAAAGTCAAACAAACACCCAACAGAAAAAATAAATAAATAAAATGCAAATGAATAAAAACCGCTCCTTCTTTGTATAGCCATATTACAGTTGTTGTTGATGAAACATGTCATATTAATTATTTATCATGGTGTTTCATTTCTATATATTGATGTTATTGTTGTCATTGGTAATAATGAATTGATAATGATGTTTTAGTTTTTAATGTAATGATTGATGCAGTCAATTATTTTTTTGTAATAATTTATTTGATTTAGGACACCTTCTCTTTTTTTGCCAACGAGAGAATAACAATTTTACTTATTTTACTTAACTATTTTACTTAGTTTTTGTCCTTTTCTCATCCATTTTATATTTATGTGCAAATGACAAACAAATTTAATATTAAATACTTTACAACCCAAAAGCATGTTAAACAGTTGGTCAGCAAATATATTGCGCGTTGTCACTAGTTATCTAATAAACTGCCAATTTTCTATCAATAGTAGCTTTCCTTCATTTTCATTGTCATGATGAAGAAAAATGCACGAGCGGTGCGACTTCTCAACGGTAACCTAAACCTATTATTAACTCTGAGACGACATGTCTTAACACTTAAAGAAAATTAAAGCAGCACTGAAGTGTAAACGCACCGACACGCACCAACAAAGAATAGGTGCAAAGCACAATTTGGGTGGCTTTTCGTTCATCTAGCATTTTAATTTTCTTGTTTCTGAAAAGCAAACACCGCTTTACTTCACCCCAAATGAATCCTGACACGTGAACGAAAACAGGGAGCCATTCTTGTTCGACGGGCCGGCTGCAACTCTGTAAAAACACGAGACATCTTTACAAATATTATAAATCTGTTTTACCTCCTGTTTTTAATATTGACCATGTACTTTTATGCAAAACATGCCATTTTACACCCTGCAGCAGATGTCAGCGATTCAATTTATTTCACGTCTTAAGCAGCCCGAGGATGTGAGAATTTTCTCGTTTTCTGTCAAAATTTCTACTCTTTCCGTGTTGTTTGCGTCTTCCTTATCCTTAACTCAAGGGTAGACTATGCCTATACCCAGAGGGAAAAGGTCTTCGGGTACAGTCTCTCCACAAACAGCTCACGAGCGCTTATTGGTCGTGAGATGAGTTTAGGGAGGAGCGCTGAGCTCAGCCAAAAGGCAGAATTGGTAATTCGGTGAAAAAGTCCCTGTGAAGTGACGGATGCGGGAAGTTCACAGGTTTTCCCTATTCACTGCCTTCTCCACGTAAGACCATTGCCTCTCGTTCGCCTGGACAGCGAAGACCTGAACATCCGCTTGGGAAGAAACTTTGAATGAGAAGTTTTGAGACAAGACACTGAAGGAAAAGGTGGAAGTGACGAACTTCGGAATGAATTTTCTTCTCGAAGTGAATTAAGACGTCTGCCTAGATTTTAACCTTCTTTATCTGTGTTCGTCCGCAGCAGGAGAGCGTTGGAGAGAGGGGTACGATGCAGGCGCCTCTGCCCTACTCGCCGTCCCCGCAGCCCGCCCATTACAGTCCACCCTGCGGCCAGCCCGCCACTTACCACTGCAACATGCAAGCGACGAGCCTGTACACAGGGGAGCGCGGCCACGGGGATGACACTTTACCGGAATACACAAATACGACAAGCGCCTCCTCTATCTCACACCCCCACCAGAGCTCGAGCCAGGAGAACCAGCACTTGCAGCAGAACCGACTCGCGCCCTGGTACCTCAGTCAGTCCGGAGAGCTGGGGCACCTGAGCGCCAGCTATCCCGGCCAGCAGCAGAACTTTCACGCGGTGCGCGAGATGTTCGAGACGCAACGGATAGCTCTGAACAGCTCTCCGGTGACCGGAAGCAATAGCTGTCAGATGGCTTTCCCGTCCAGTCAGCCACTCTACCGGGCTTCCGGAGCCTTTGTATACGACTGCAGCAAGTTCTGACCAAACGTTTCATGAATTTCAAAATTGTTTAATATATATATTTGTATTATTTGCCATGTGTTTGTAATTTAAGGAAGCTTTTAGGTCAGTGAACTCGGGCTGATGCGAGTTTGTGTTGCAGGATAATTTCGCTGCACATAAACATTCTCTCCCTGCTCGTCCATCAAGATAGATTAAAAGAAAATGTGTTAATTTATTTCATGCAAGAGCAGGTGCACCAACTTTGCAAGGAAATATCTTACGTATTTATAATCAATTCAGTATAGAAAGGTAACGAGTGTACAACCGAGTTACAGTTTTTTCTTATACCTTTTGAAAATATCTAAAGTTACTATTTGTTTAATAAACTGTCGTCTTGTTGGAGTTAAACTCTCAAGTGATTTATCCATTTGTAATGCCTGTTGAATCCATTATTTACTTAAATGACTGTCAGAGCTTGTTATTGATTAGCGGCCACAAAACGCAAGGAATAATTTTTAAAACGTTGTTCAAACATAGCTGGCTAGCAAATATTTGCCAATTTACTTATTTTCCTCCTAAAACTATTTGGCTCTTAATAAGGCATTCCTTGGACAGGGGGTGGGGGTGGGGGTCAAAGGTTTAAAAACATCTGGAAATTATTATTTTTTCACTTACGCGTGCAAGGAGTCTTTAAATTGTTCCTAACCTAAAAATGCATTTACTAACAACAAAAAAACAATGTTTAATAATAACTATTATAAACACCTGACAAAATTTCAATGATCAATACAGCGTTATAGGCTACAATTTTTTAATGTAAATTAAAAAAATAATCGAGCACTTTATTTGACAGGACTTTGTCCCTCGTTTACCTATAAATCTCTTAACGAGTAATGTTCGTAATTTTTATAACTTGATAAACGTCCTATGTGTTCCTATGTAATTTGTTTCTCAACTAATACTTTAGAGAAATACATATTTATAGGGAATAAATATGTTTCTAGTTTTAATATGATAAAAATATTTTACTGAGATATATCTTGCAATCTTGTTTTATTTATGCTATTTAGTTGAGCGTTTTTGACGTGCTCTCTTTTTATAATGTTGGCACACTGGAGTGAGCTGCACTTTTGCAATCTTGCGGAATGTAGACAACCATTGTCTTTGATAGAAGTTTTCATTTGTAAACACATAATAGATTAAAAAGCAGATAAACAGCAGATGAAAGAATTGCTGTAGGCCAGACATGTCGAGCCAGCCATGTAAAATATGGGCTTGATAAATTAAATGATTAATTCAGCCAGAACCTCCAAACAAAAGCATTCTACTCGGTATGTGACTCAGTGCTTTGTTGATTTCTGCGTTGCTTTTTTTTGTTTTTAACATACAGTAAATGTAAAACAAATAGGCCTATAGGTCGATATGTTTTAACTCAAGATAGGCCTACGGACACAAACCAAATAACGAATTACTCTATTTAACATTTCAGTGCAATTGAAATAAGATAATTGTCTAATTTAGATTTGTTGTCCTGATACATATTCAGCAATATTTAAATATGCAGATGCGCACAGCGATGTGTAAAGCTTCTTGCAGTCATCGAAAGCAGAAACTGTGGGCCTTGCAGTGCAGTGCTTGTATTTATTTGGTGTATAATTGGCCCCGTAAATGATCTGGTGTATTGTGATTATATAAACGCTGTGACTAAGGGTTGTGCATGATTCACAGATACGGTTTAAATAGGTCTCTCAAGTGTAATCAAGAGAAACAAATGAGTAGAAACAGGAAGAAATATGAAAAAAGACAGACAGTAAGAAAGAAAGAAAGAAAGAAAGAACCTGTGAATAAGCTTTACAGCGTCAAGTCTGTACGTATCGTTGCAAGGTCAGCTCGAGGCGATTTGACTTTGTACGAAGGGCTCAAGTGGCAAATGCATTACAGGTGCGCGTGCCAGTGAAAAGGTGTCTTTGTTGTGATCAGCTGCGTGTTTCAAGGTTGAGTTGCGCGCGAGGGGAATATGATACAGCAGAGAGAGCCTTCTGGTATTAACGTGGCACGTTTTAACCAGATGCAGATCTCATAGCATGCCTGAGAAGTGTGTTTGTTTATTTTAAATCGATGTGTATCATGCGTGATATCCTGTGATGGGTATATTTCACAATTTCCCGATACATTTTGCGGTCTCTTTAAATTAGATAAATGCAGGACAATCTGTCCAATTAATTTTCAATAGTGTTTAAGTGCGTTTTGCGAAGTGCTGCTAATTTATTGTAGACTAATTCAACAGTTTGCCTATAATAAACAGGTCGTTGTTTATTTTAATATTAGGCTAATAGTAGGCTAAGTAGAAATATTGATGTATTATTACAACAACAACAACAACAACAATAAAACAAAATAGTATATATAAAATTAAAAAGCAATGAAATATAAGCTACATAATTTTAGAGTCTATTTATATTCAACACTTGTAAAAGTGAAAAATGGTTTGATCGGGCAAACAACAAACGGACTAGAACTCTATAGGCCTGATTTACCTCGGCCTAAATCACATATAATGTGAACAATTTTGTTGGTAGTAAACATATTTGCTAAATGTTAGCAATTAAGTTACAGTATATACATTAACATCTTATGTGTTTTATTTCTCTTTTTTCTCACAATCTGCGCTAAATAAAAGAAGCAATAAACGCGTCCATCAGCCTTGTGAAGAAGCGCTGTGCTCCCAATTTAAAAAACATCTTTAGTGTTATAATGTTCTTAACATTTCCTACATATTTATGTAAAACTTAAATAAATATTTAATAATAATTCAAAACCTCGTAGGCTATAGCCTATAACAATAAAATATAGGCTAATCCGAATTTGTTGCAGCGCACCTGACGAAGGCGATTGCTTTTAAACGTTTAAATCTTAGACATTAATAATAATGATATAAAATAATTTTTCTCACGGACAAAAACGGAATTACAAATAAAACTTAAGTAAACACAATGCCGTGGACTGTGAGAAAAGGTCGAGAGGCTTATCACGGATTATCTGCTTGACGATGAAAAATAAACACAAGGAAAATAGCCACGAGTTTACCTTGACAGAGTGGATTGAAACAAAATGATTTTCTTCTGCGTTGCAAAAATGTCAAAGGATAAAATTGTGAGACGAGAAATTGTGAGTGGAAGTTCCTTATCAGTGAAATCCAAATGCTTGACACTGGCAAAGCAAATAATTCCTGATGTGCCAAGATATAATACAGAAACAATAAACAATACCGAACAAAGCGTGAGACATTATAATACTGAGGAAGTTCACTGAAATATAAAAGCGATATAAATGCAATATGATATATAACAGCATAAAATATAATTATAAAATAAACTGAGAGAATATACATTAACGACAGAATACCACTATATAAAATTCTCCATATTGCTATACATTTTTTAAATAATATTTCATTAAACATTTAAAAATTATATATATATATATATATAGGCCTATTTTTAAATAATATTTAATTATTAAAACCAGCCAATAAACTTCATTTCAGGACTTTTGGAAGCAGTGCGCAAACCAGTTGTCGCAGAGGATAATTTGAGTTCCGTGCATTTTTAATTACAAATCTTTTGAGATAACTGACAGAGAATATAAATAAAGCATTATATTAAATTCTTGACTTGGAGCTTTTTCACGTCCCTTAAATTGTTCATTATACTTTAATTTGTTGGTCCAATTGAATTTCACGTTTCCTAGCTTTTACGGGAAAATCAGCAGGGTAGTCAAACAAAATACCAGAAATTTCCCCGCCCAAGCGTAAAAACAAATTCGCCGGGATATATAAGGTAGTTAGTGGCTGCTCGCGGCCTGTGCACCTGTACGCGGTAGATCCCGCGACCCAGGCCAGTGGAAAAGTGCTTTTTACGCTCGCGGACCGGCGAGCCACCGTCTGGTTCCAATCAGGCCCGCACGCTCACATTGCTGCGCTGTTTGAGGCGCTTAAATGGCACTCCACTGGCTCGAGATGCCGTCTCAAAAACACAAATACACATACATCAACCGCCCCCACTATCGCCTGTCTTACGAGGGTCTCAAAGACCCCACTTTCTTGGACGTTGGTGTCAAATGACCTTCTTTTGGCACTTCGAATAGAGCAGAATATCCGTGGCCTCTTGAGTCGTTTAAAATAAACTGATTTTACCGGGTCTCTCTCTCCTCGCTTGAGGACACTTACGCTGACAGAGGTCTCTTGAATCTGTTGTTACTTTGATGAGGACAACTGTGTCGCCATTACAAATAAACACGACGGAGGATTTTCGCACACAGCGAAATGTCTTCACTGTCAGGGTTCAGTGGCCCAGCTGCGCCCGACGTCAGAGGTGATTAAACATGAGCTGCTTTACAAGGCCGAGTTACTGCTCCCTCAGCTGCGCGCGGTGGGCCGAGCTCGAGCATCTGGAACGAAGGAGCGCGAGGCCTCGAGGACGCCCGTTTCCCGCCGAATACAAGAGAGCGCTTGTGCTCTGAGACCGCCGAGCAACCCGCGAGAGCTGGCACGAGCCGCTTTCCGACGCATTTCACTGTATATTTAACTTCTGAGGCTAGAGAGAATGAAACTGAAAAGTTGACAGTTATTTTCAAAATGATGTTTACTGATTGTAACCATGTAAGCTCATCTCAAGCTATTGCTTACTGAGTCAGCAATATTAGCTAATTTTCTATAGGCCTACTATTGCTATCTCTAATGTTGTTCTGTTTAATAGCCTATAGGCTAAATTATAGGAAACAAAGGTAAAAACAACACTGTTATCACCTTAAAAGTGTTAAGCTTTTAAAATTACAAATCTACTCTGAGAACTGAACCTTTCAACATAAAACATTTAAAACCCAACGATTCCCAACCAGGAGGTCTAAAGGAGTGACTTAAAATACGTGAATAAAGTAGCCTACTAAAACCATAATGAACACGTAAACCTACATTTTTATGTTAATCTGACCCCCCCCCCCCCCGCAACACAGTGTATA